CTGGCGAATTGCATTATTAGTTTTTATGTGACGAACCCTGTTGCTGATTTATATTTGTGTCTTTCTGACGAAGCCTACGCTGCGGATTCGCATAATTATGTATTTGAAATTAAAGTCAATAAATTTATTAATAGAGAAAATATTACTTAATAGGTACTTAAGTATATATTGATTTAAATGTAAGAGCTTTATTTGTGGGCTATGTGCTACCACGTATGTAATGGCTGAGCTGTGCCTCTGAACAAGGACCGAAATGGGTAGACGCAGGCGTTGCAACTCGAGCAAAATTGAATGCAAAATGCTGACCGACACGATAGATTATATTATAAAGTTTTTCTTTGAGGTTACCAGTATCGAAATCTTTTACCACTATATTGTGAATTCCACTTTATCGTAAATACATTTTATGTTCAATTTCGTTATGTTCAACGCCGGTTATATCTTTCGGATTTTGCTTTTGTAAGGCTAAAATGTAGGTTCGAGGCTGAGTTTCCTCGCGGTCATGATATCAGTAGTACAATATATTGGGGACCAGATTCTCGTGAGACAGAGAAAATAACAAATTTCGAACAAAAATGGCGGGTATCGATCTCAAACTATTTCTTTTTTGTGTACTTAGAATCTAACGACAGACATAAATAGATATATCAGTTTAATTATTTTTTTATTGAATTGATATTCAACTATTTTTTTGGGAAATTACTCCACTAGTTTGTTGTAATTATTAATACAGAGATCGAACACTAAGAAAAAATCCGGCCGGATTCCAACCGAACGTCGAAAAGCCACAAGCGGACCTCATGAATTTTTCTATATGCTTGTTATCCGATCTTTGTATTTGGTTTTTCAACGACTTTTTAGCCTTAATATTAGTTTAATGACAACAATCTTCAAAACCCTTAATGTGTCACTATTGAAAACATAGATAAAATCGAATCGTGCAGTAAGGTCCAGCACCACCGACCATTACCATTGAAATTTCAACTACAATGTCATAAAATTGAAAGAGTTTTAACCCTAACTAGCCGTGAACAGGTTCACGGCAATGAAACGGGAAACTTCCGGTCCACAAAATTTATTAAAGAAGTAAAGTTAAAAGAAAGGGCTAAAACAATATAAAGGTAAATGTAAAAAAAACAGGCACAACAGTAAAAAAAACACTCCTTACACTTTAATAAAGGCACTTACCCTTAAATGGGCCGAGTAACTGAATTACAGATATAGGTACATGAAGGCTGTAGACTGTTATAAATTATTACACACGATTTAGCCTTTTTGATGATTATAAACGTAGTAAAGAACCAAAATTAGCGATTATACGCGATGGAATTTGAAACAGCTCCGATTGTTGTGGCGGTCGAGCAAGGAATGACCGTGGTACGAAAACAAAATGAGAAAGTGAAGGAACAATTCAAATTTAAAATTTAAATACATGTAAAATAAAAAAATGATAGGATACAAGCGGAGAGAGGCGATACAAAGAGGGGAGATGACGGTGTAAGGAGGTCACAAATTAATATTAATGTATATTCGTCCTATAAAAATCCCTTGCAGTGCCGTCCCAAATTACCAGACATACCAACGCGGAATCGACTTGAACAGGTCAGAAAGAGCTTTTTGGTCACTCGTTTCTCTTCGGCAATCAGAGCCAAAACGAAACGGATGTCATTTTGTGATTCTTCTTCTTCTTCTTCTTCTTCTTCTACTTCTTCTTCTTCTTCTTCTTCTTCTTCTTCTTCTTCTTCTTCTTCTTCTTCTTGGGGTGCAATCTCACCGGAGGTCGCCTTTCATTGTGGCAAATTGGGTCCGTGAAGTTGCGGCTCGGAACAGTTCTGTGGTACTTATGTTGAACCACTCTGCAAGATTTTGAATCCAGGTGGTTTTTCTACGACCACGTCTTCTGCGGCCCTGGATTTTTCCCTGCAGAATGAGTTGCTGTAGAGGGTATTTATCACTCCGCATGATGTGCCCGAAGTAGTTTTTCTTATTGCAGGGATAAAAACTTTCTGACTGACAAATGCGCGTCGATAAATGTGTGATTCCTTGACAAAGATTTCAAAATCATTAGACCTAGCAAAGCAACCCTATCGATAACGAGAATAACAATGACTTGGACAATAGCGTTTTTAGTGACCATTGTTGACTGAAAATTAAGGAAGTAACGTTGCGTACGAGAATTGGTCCCTTGATATTTGATATTTTATACATGGTGAGGATTACAATCTAACTAATCAGGAAGAAATAATAAAATTTGCATTGAATTTATATATTTCCACAAGCAACACGCAATGTCACACAACGTTACACAAATTAAACAATAATAAGTACAATGCAGAATATTGATTATTACAACTTACAATACTTTACGATTGTGATTAATAATTTATTGTTTCCGTAGCAGTTTAAAACGTTAACAATTTAGACAAATATCTTATTATTACACTAAAACTAGACAAATATTGTGGAAAAAATACTTGTATGTTTGTAGAGTCTACGGAATGTTTTCTGAAGTACTATCTTTGTTTACGATACCGTCTTATCTAGTTACATTAAATTATGTGTTGGAACATCTCTTTTACAGTCAACAGCACATCAACCCATACACTTATGTTTGAATACAGCCTCCAGGGCACGGAACAAGATCCGTCAATGTGTAGCTCGATGTACTGCTGTCTGTACAAGAAATCCAATTGCGACATAACTTTTGTAAGTTGTTGTGCCCTTGCCTGCAAACATTTATAAAGTATTAGATCTCATTGGGTGAGTGTCACCTCTAAGGACAGGATTAACGCCATCTTTTGTTGAGTTAAAAGACAAGCAGATTTTTTTATCAATGGCATTGCAACGCATGCCGGTTATAGTTAGATGAATCATACATACATATATACCAAGTAGGTTAACCATACGTAGATTATTTGAATGAACGTTGAAGACGGTTCGAAAGTAACGGGAGAAGTATAAAAAGTCAAACCGTGATTAAGGAACTTGATGATAAATCCATATGTGAATGTACGTCAAAGTTGCTTTTATCCCTTGAAACTCATAAAAATAACGAATTACATTAAACAAAATTATGTATTTAACGTCACCTTAGAGTCAAAACCTCGCATACGCGTTTCCACGTTGTCCGTTTTTACTGATTTTTATTAGAGAATAACTTATAAACTTCTTGCTGAAAAATATATTATTAAAGTAATATATTATCTGAAAGAGTTATAATTGGACTAATTAAAATGCTGACTACATTTTACACCACATTTTTGTCTTCGTCCTGAAAAATTACATAGAAATCAAATACGAAGTATTCACTCTAAGACGACTATAATGTGAAATGTTGTAACTCTCTTTTTTGAGCATGAAAATGATATCGATTTATTTCATTCGTAGACTCTTTAAACCTCTCTTCTAAAAAGGTTGTCATTTTGCAGATGTGGCCTTATTACCAACTAGTGTAAAACAATTTACATAATTTTGACATATTTACATTTCATGACAAAAGTTTCATATATCTCGACTCTATCTTAGACAAATTGTATTTTGGTGATGAAATATCGATTACTGTCTAGGATTGTGACCTTAAAAACGGCTAATTCATCAGAAATAAGGCTTACAAAAACATTGTGGCGTATCTAGCGCAAAGCCGGCGAATCGCATACCGACCCGTTTAATTTAACCAACGGAAAGCTAGATGTCTTATTCATAATACAATTTAGCACATTCGACATAGGTACACCCGTATGGTAACCAGAGATCGGAACAGGCTTTATTTACCTCAACTTTGTTGGAACGAGTATGGTGTAAACCAGACAGTTTTAAAAGTCTGTGATACCTACAAGTTTGCCGCGTTAATGTAAACCTTTTCTTTCGTCACCGCAATTCTCTTTTTACTAGTTTGATCCTTCTTTTTTTTTCATCATAACCAATGTGTATAGGATCACTGATCATAACCCATCAAGATTTTTAAAACGAAATTTAACTTGGGCTAAGCAAAAATGGCGAACTAAGCAAGTTTTTCGTATTTACAAAACGAACTATGCCTGAGTTCAAGCTGAATTTATCTCAACGTCAAGTAATATAATATAGTCTGAGATTTTCTTATATAAAGCGAACGTTGACTTCAACTCATAAAAAATGGCAAGTAACATTTTTCATATTTACAGATCCAACATTGCCTCAGTTTAAGCCAGAAATTGAATCAACTTTGAGTTTATTTCTTTCTTGCTTAAACTTAGTTCGTTTTGTTTTGCTTAGTCGAAATCAAGTTCGTTTTATAAATCTCCGCCAAAGAGTTGACAATACTCTCTCTGAAAGCCCGAAATGACTAAAAATAAAATAAATAGTAATATATTTTTACTAACAATTACAAGACTCTTATTTTAAATACACTACCACGGTAAAGTAATTGCTAGTTCCACATCAAAAATATAGAACAAAATATAATTTAACAATTCCGGGATTTCAGAGGGAGGTATTTTGCACTTTAGACACGTTATTTCCTTGATGTGTAAGGCCATAGGGGCCTAGACGATTTCTCGTTTCGATCGATCGTTACGATAGTCGTATCGATACGCTGCTACTCCCTTTGCGTTCAAGTTAATCTTTAAGGACAATATAAACACATACTATCGATTCGTCGTTTAGATCAGTCTGAAACAACGGATCGTGACGACAAATCGTCTCATATGATGCCCTTAGATGAATATATTTTGTCTACTTTGATCTATGGTGATAATTTAAAAAAATAATAATTCGGTTTGGACCATTATTCATGAAAATCTATATCAGCTATAGCTATAGCACATAAATGTAAAAATAAATATCAAAATTATTACAAGGTACAACTACGTCGTAATAAGTCTTTACTGGGATATAGATAAAGTTAGAAAACAGTTAAGAAAATAGATTTCAAGTGGTCACCATTTATAAAACTTCTAACAATAATAAATATATGCAATACAAGAAACCTACTTTTGTCCAATAAATACATAAAATGTATATAAAGGTAAATTTTTACAATATTTTTTAAAATATGAGTGATACCATACCTACGTAAGGTAAATAAGTAAGACGTGTTTAATTAAGTCCTGATAAAACAGGTAATTACTAACGTAATTACGACGTATCAGAGCGTTTATGAGTATTAAATTAACGCTGTTTCGTAACATAAAGAGCACCTAAAACGTCAAAATTAAAGTTGATTTTCGTATCTATCCAATTTACGTTGACCTCGATGAAAATTGTTTTTGACTTAATGTGGCGTAAACAGTTTTTGTTTACGCAACATTATAACTTTCACTGATTTATTATATTACAGTTTTGTTCCAACAAATCGAAGTAATATCGTCTTCTATAGAACCCACTTTATTTAATTACCTTAAGTAAATTTTCTGAAGGTGTTTTTAAGTTATTATTATTGAAATAACACTTAGCGCTTGCCTAACAACACTATAGTGAACGATTACTTATTCGAACTTAAGATTCAAGTTTATGAGAAATAAATACATACTTGCACATCCTTAATTCGCTAAAAGTATGGTCGACATTGATTTAAATGCATATTTACGTTACCTAATTATAGTAAAGTGTTTATAATCAATATGCATCTACATAAAGTGATTGGTAAAAAGTTCCAAGTCCAACGTACCAATTTCGGTCCACGTTAGGACGTTTGGAATATATTCAAATTCAAAATCCATTTTCGAAAACCGTTTTATTGCTTGCGTCTTTTATGAACACGGTGGGCACGAAGATTTTTGTTCCTGTGATGGATGCGCGCGCACGGCTAGCCTGGAAGGGTCGACGGGGTTCGCTTTTGCAACTAGAGAGCGCGCCACATGAGCAAATGCTGCTTCGACATTCAATCCGGTTTTTGCCGAAGTTTCCATAAACGAGACTTGGTATTCCCGCGCTAGGCGTTGCCCCTCCTCCCGCCTCACCGCTCTTTCTAAGCCGCTATCCGATTTGTTACCTGATAGGAAGACATCGTATGTAGTCGAGTTAGTTAATGTAGGAAATACCTACCTACAATGCACTATAAATAACAAATAATTTGTGAAGAGTTGTGAAGACTCTTAACGACACGCAATCGCGTTAAGCCGGTCAGGAAAAGCTTTATGATTTTGAAGGGTCGGTGCCCTCAAGCACCCCTTAGGTATCCACTGTTTGTACTAAGTGCTATACAAATAGTGGATACCTAAGTTAGGGCTCCGACTGTACATAAGAGCGAAAAAATCGGCAGCCCCAGCGGATGCGAAACACGAAACGTATTTTTAGCTCTTGTTACATGGGCATAAATCTTTTCCTGCATGCTTAGCATGAGCCCGAACACAAAAGTTATCTCTTCTTCGAACTGTCAATTTTCTCTCGAATATGACGTCACTACGAAGTATCTCTAACCGTCTCTACAGGCGCGAGCATAAGCGCTATGAGGTTTAAGTTGCTGTGCATACAAATGTCAAATAAAGGGAATTTATCTCTAACCATAGCACGATAGTCAAATTTTATATACTTTTGACAGATCGCCCGTAGCGAAATATCTCTACTACTTACACTATGGAAACCAAAGGACATGTTATATTGACATATATAAATCAAACGTTATATGTTTAAGATGCATTTAGCCTTAGAGGAAAGATTTAGACATTGAAAACATAAACGTTTTACTGTCTTTGTTTAATTACTGCGTGCCGTCGTAAGCCAAACAGATAGCACTACATTGATTTAAGTCAAACACGGGAATTGAAAATACGTAACACCATCTTAAATGCCAACTGTCCTCATTTTACCATTTTTGGAGTACCCTTTGATAACCGTTTCCGGTTGTATACATCAAATGTCAAAACCAATGTTTGGCCAAATGTTTTATTGAATTATTCGCACGAATTGTAATGAAATGGACAAAAATATTGACAGAGAGAACAATTAAGTATTGATTAAAATGCGTCGCTGCGGCATTAAGGGGTGCTGCAGTAGAAAAGGCAGAAATCAACCGAATGTTGTATTACACCGGTATGTATTATTTTTTGTCTATAAATCATACAATAGCCTAAATATCTCATGTAATTAGATTCATTTAAGAGTTTATTCATATATCTTGTCGAATTTTGCTTTGTTTACTTTAGATTGCCTGTTTATTAGTATATTTTGATGATTGTTGATAACGATTATTTTGAGATAGTGTCGTTCTTGTAAGCAGACATATTGTCGATATTCTGTTGTTAAAACAATTGACTACGAGGATTTTATTATTTCAGTCTTATTATTTTTAAAGTTTACCACCAAAGCAAAAAAGAAAGAAAGAATGGTTGGAAATTATAGTACTGCCGAACATAAACATTGGATCAAATACCATTTTCGTTAGTTCTCTCCATTTTGAAGTGTCAAATTTTAATAGAATTTTATATGTAACTAGATTACATAATAATGCAATTCCATCATTACATTTATTGGTAAATATCTTTATATTTAATTTTGATTTAAATGGCTCATTACTTGCCTAGTAATAATAGCGTAGTATTAATCATACTTTGATTACAGTAAACAATATAGAAATTTGCAAACATAAAAGACAGTTTCAATATTCAAACCATACATTTGCATGTCGATATTGACTCATGTATGATTATGGTACAACACTAAATCTGCCATTTGTGGTGGATATTTTTAATTCAGGTACGGACGTTTATTCCGTAGACAGGGCAGCTCCTTTCCTTTATTTTTTTCCATCCTCTAAGCTCTACTTGGGGCAGAAGATAAGCGATGCTTTTTGTTTAAATACTATATCTTTTGAATTAGTGATTTTAATTTAATATATGTGGATTGCAGATGATAAATAAACCGAGTTTTCTTATTATTTCCTTAAATTTGTAGTACAAACAACGTAACACAAATCTGACAACTTTTGACACACCTTTCTTATTTCTTCTTAATAATACTTCTTAGCAAAAAGGTAGGAACACAAATAGTTTACATTAAAATACGAAAAATACAACTAATCCCACACGCCATTTCTGCTATTCATCTGTCCTAGATGAATCATCTATTGAAGTAGTGGTGACCCTTCGTTTCATCATGTTAGCAGAGCCAGATGCGCTGGCTGGGCCTTCACCATAATCAATCTTCCGTACATTATATCGATAATTTCGTTTCTTACTATTGACTTTAAGGACCGTGAAATGTAGGATGTAGTTTATAGCCTTGAACAAACTGGGTTAGTTTAATAATCACCAACTTTCCAACTCTACACTGTGTCGCTTTTTTTCGTTTTCTGTTATAAATCTTTCTGTTTTCTTCTTGTATGTTGTGTACGTCCACAGGTATATCTGTGAGGTTCAAAGTAAGTGAAGGAAACGAAGACACGCGCTTATTACTCAGAATTTGACCCGTAAATTTCGGTGATAAACTTCGTAAACATTTTAAGGGACAACAGACAAACAGTAAGCACAAAATTGACAAAATTGTTTGTTTTTTGCTATTTCCTTTTTTGTCAAAATGAGCTTTCGACTACAAACATATCAATATGATTTGCGTAACAAAGCGGAGGAATTGAATGAAGGGAGATAAAGTTGTGCATAAAAAAACTATTACCAGTTTAGTGTGACTGCTATGAAAATGAAGGGTAATTTACTAATAATTTTATTAAGGGTTATTTGAAAACTTTGTCTACGGTCCAGAGTTTCTCTTCCTGTTACGTCGTGCTCGGATTAGAGACATAATCGGTAGAGAAGAGAAAAATATCTCTACGCGTTTAAGTTTTGTCTATTTCTCCTCATGTTAATCCTGGTGACCGGCTTAATGCGATTTCATTTCGACAAGTGTTGTGAATCCCTAAGTCAATGCTAAAGAGTTACGTAGACCAGGGTTGTTGCGAATATCAGCATCCGCATCAAACATCCGCTGATGTGTAAAAAACTTGCATCAGCAACAACCCTGGTGGAGAGTAGTACTTTTCGGAAAATATTCCGAGTATCTATTACATCACCACAGGTGCTACAGTAGAAATTTAGGTTTACCTAAAAGCATAATAACGACGTCGTCCTGAGCATACTCTCGTATCTCGCCAAGCCAGGCGCGGATGTTGTCGAAACTAGTCTTGTTGGTTACATCGTACAGGAGCAGCAGTGCTGGGGAAATAAGTAAATACGTTAAATCATGTAACAAATTTGCCTACATTCGCGAGTCAAGTCAGTTAAGTTCTACATACGTTCTCGTATGTAGAACTTTTTATTTTATGTAGAACGCCTTTGTTGAAGAAAAATAAAATAAAGTAAAATGAACTTTTTATTTATTTTAATTTTTTTATCAACGGTGTTAATTTGGATACATTACTTTAGCTAAAAGCCAGTGAAGGAAATCATGACCTTCATCAACCTGCAAAATTTGTATTTATAATCCATTTTTTGGTAACTTTCTGCTTTAAGATACGAATTTGAGAAAGTAAGGTGACGATTTGTACAAGTATTAAGTAGTAGTGGAACTCCTTGTGAAAGAGTTAATTCGGGGAAGTACTGCCACCATACGTATTTCTTCCACCAAGCAGTAATGTCAGCATTACTGTGTTCCGGTTTTGAAGGGTAAGGGGACTGGTGAAAATACAGACACATGGGATTTGTCAACTTACGAGTATGTCTCAGGGTGTCGGGCGCAGTGGCAGTGCCCCTTAGATCTTTGCGATTTAAAGCTCTGAGTGATACTGCAAATGTTATGGATAGGCGTGTCGCTCACCGTCAGACGTACGACTTGCTCATCCCGTTCAACTTTATTAGCGAACTATTAAATATGAAAACAGTAATGTGGACAAAAAAGACGAAGACTCAACATTCCTGATTTTCAGTCTTCATTAAGTATATGTATATGCTTCGAGTGTACACTAAATACCAAGTGATTATACAGAGGCTTTTTGTGTTAGGACGCCTTCAAGGTAGACGCGTATAGATGTGCTGCAGTGGCGTCACTGTCGTGACACGCGCCATTGTCGTGGCACGCGCCACTTTTGCAGTGACAATTGAACAGTGAACTAAAAATTACTCGAGCGATACAGACGCGCGGTTGTCGCGCCACAGTCGCTTCTACATGCGTCTATTTTGAAGGCGCTCTTGCACTTTATATAATACCTAGTTGTAAAAATTCAAAAACTGTAAATTCTAAATATAGTATAATTTAGAAGTTTTGTATTACAATTTTTGATTCTATTTACAAAACACAAAAAATACAAAAAAAGATTTAGTGTTGCTAGTTTTAACCAAGTACCAATAAAATTGGTACTCGATTTCGGCATAAACAATTTTTTTTTAAAGATATAGCTAAGCATTTTGGCAATAGAGCTTGTATGAAAAGATTGAATGCATGTAACTGAAGCAGGAGAAGTTTGTCAGGATCGAAAAAATTGGCGCTCTGTACAATTGTACATATATTGTTGTACATATATTAATTAATATCTGCCTATTTCAATGGGAATCCAAAGTCGTGAGGATATTATTACGTAGATAATTATATATTCTTTACGGGAAATTTTACCTTATTTACTTAGCGTCCCAATTTGCAGTTTTGAAAAGTGACGTTATATTATTATGTATCCAGCATTGACTTACAAATAAATGGACGACGGGTCTAATACAAAAACCACGAAAAAAATGTCCCAAATCAACCTATTCGAAATTTAAATTGTAATGTCATCGCAGTATCGCGCTGTCAGTCGAACAAATGAAGACTAAAGCGGAGTTTGGCGCTCTGTATACGATTTTAGCGCCTTACAAGTGCGGACACTTTTTAGCGCGGACCCGACGTCCATATAATTGTAAGTCAAGTCAATGGTATACAGTGTATTTTTTTAAATGGGCCAGTATGGGGGGGGGGGGATATCCGAAATCATAGAACATACAAGGAAACAAAAAAGGATCACAAAAAAGACTTAATGGTTCAAAAGATAGTTTCCTTGTCACTTGTATGGTTTCGGATTTCCTCATACTGTCTCATTTAAAAAAAAAATTATATATTATTTATAATTAATAGTATATTATTTACCATTCACTACACACAACAGCTTTGGATTCTAACTTATTCAATAAGTTATGTATTCGTCAAGCGAACTTCAACACAAAGGCACGGTTTTTTTTTACAATCCGTTACAATAAAGTGGACGCCTAATTAACGTCATCATCAGGACCGGATTTAAAGAATGCCCAAGGACCAAGATTTCTCATAAACCGTTATTTTATTCAGCGTACGTCTCCTGACATTAAAATTTGGGCCTAATAGTAAATTCAGCCCTGGTCACCATTTCTTCTTATACTAGTTGTCCTTTCATAGACTAGTATGTATGACTTAGATGTACACCTACTCTCGTACTGAGCTATACTCAGAACGAGTATCAAGTACCTCAGTGTACTTATATCCTAAAGTTGGCAACAATGGATGAATCCTTACCGTGAGCGTCCCTGTAGTAAGCATGAGTGACGCTACGAAAGCGCTCCTGTCCCGCGGTATCCCAAATCTGAAGCTTTACCTTGATGCCATCCACTGTCACTACCTTATTCTGCGAACAGATGGCGTTAGTTGTAAGTTTTTTCCGTCAATGTTACTTGTTCACAGTCAAACTTAAGTAGGTACCTACGTATAAAATACACAATTATTGTTTAAGGGGGAACTTTACGATACTCATTGGGAGTACTCATACTCACTGCAGAATAAAGACAATATTAAAATAAGTACAGAAATAACAATAATAGGAAATGAAACTATTTTTCCGGATTTAAATCGCGTATATTTGTTATACGCGTATTAAATCCGGAAAAGTAGTTTAACGACAACAATAATGAATTAATTGATAAATTAATTAATTAATAAATGTACGACAACAATTGTTGTCGTTCCGGGATTTAAAATATGCCATCGCAATTTTGTACCAATATAACATTTTATACAACAATAACATTATTAGTACCTAAGTCTCTTGATAGAGTATTTCTTTAGTATGCACTGTTAATAAGTATAGCAACTTAGATAAAAAAAATATAGCCAATATTCTAAAAAAAACAGAATGCCAGGCACTAAATCAAATTACAACAAAAAGCAGTACAAAACCCATACAAAACCCAATAATCTCATGCCCATTGATTGTTGCAATAAATCACTCAGCCGAGCTGTCAATTCAATCACGGCTGTCACAAGGAAGGGGCGGGAACAAAAAAGACGCGCCAAACTTCAAACACCAATAGCGTTTCGCCAAATTTTAGATATTCACCTGCGGAGGTTCATTTCAATTACGAACCCCTTTTCAGTGTTAATTACTTTTTCGTAAAACTATTGCGTTTTACAAAATTGTCGGCTATATTAAACATTGATAGTAATTATTTTTTCCTTTAATGAAATTGTAATCAGTCATTGTAATTAGAAAGACGTTGAAAGAGAATAGTTTTCCGATGGAGAATGGATTGTACCCGGAAATCGATGCCGACAGTGGAAATGTAGTTTCCGGCGAGAAACGTGCCGTCACGGAACCTGACGAGCATGCAAGTCTTGCCGACGCCGCTGTCTCCCAGCAACATCACCTGGAAAATTGAGAACTTATAGTACCTAAGTACCAAGATATGCTTGTTTTCACTAACAAATCGAAAATATATTTATTTTACGTTATTAACAACATAGGATGCTACATGACTCATCTCAGTTGTGTGTCGAGTACCTATTAGAGATGAAACGGATATCCGGTAACTATCCGGTATCAGGCCTATCCAGCCTATTTTTACTATTTGGCCGGATACCGGATAGTAGACCAATATCCGGCCGGATAAAACTGAGAAAAATTCATAATCAGTATGTCAAATAACGGTACAGCAAGAATTATGAACTTAGATAATAATCTGTAAACTTAGTACTCAAATATAATAGGCAAATTTTGGTGGATGAAGACCAGTTTTTCTGCATAAAGTGGTAAAAGTTGGTTCTATTTATTTTCATAAACGAGACCAGCTTCAGCTTCAGCTGCTAAAAGATAATTTCAATTTCATTCAACTGCCATTGCAATTTTTTGGTATTCTGCATTCCAATCGAGTCGAGTGCACGTCGATGGAGTAATCGACAAATATTATATATATTTAATTTGAAGACCAAATTCCTGATTAAACGAGATAAAAATTAAGATATGCATAATAATTTCCATGGTAGTTTTATTAAGGCAACATCGACCTTTAGTGTGAGAATGAACGAATGCCATCAGTGCCATTCCACGGACACTCTGTTGAGACTCAACTGTCATTGCAATTGGATTTTAGTAGAGTAACATCATCAGATCATCGAAAATCAATCAAATCTGTAGGCACCTATTGATCGTCAAACACATACATCGAGTAACGGTAACGATCGCCAAAACTGGAGCACCTGTAGGCACCTTTAAACACAGACTCAGCCAGTTTACAATAGGCACTTAATTAGATATGGAAAATTATGTCTCACCTTTCCAAACACGTCATATTTATCTTCCTGTTTTCCCTTCTGATCCCATGGTTCTGTAGGTGATGGAGGTTCACTATGTGGCATGACGCCGCCAGCTTCATTTTCAGACTTATCATCATCATCTCTGGCTTCCGGAAGATTCCTCGCCCATGTTGGTCGTACCCTCCCGACTACAACACGTTTCTCTAACTGCCTGTTGTCTACTGAGTTTGGGTTCCACATGTTTTATTTATTTTTTTGATAATCTTATTATTCCCGCAATATGTACTCCATTGTGTGTTTAGTGCTTAATTCACCTACAATTATTTATAATACCTATATTCAACGCTTTGTCGTCGAGTTGCAGTCACTAGCCTGTTGCAACAAGTATCAAGTACCTATATTCAACAAATTGTCATTTTCACCAAAATAAGCGCGTTCGAAAGCTTAAATATATATCTAAATAATATATATTACTTATACATAACACTCAAATTATATAAAATAAATTTGGTCAACAACAATCAATCTGAAAACATGAAAACAGAAATAAAAGTTTTTTTTATTCTGGCTATAGAGTTATGCGATATATGTGGAGTGAGTATTTATTTTAAAGACGGCCGCGAAAAAATTTCAGTAACCAACTACGGCTTCGCTACGGGCAAACGTATAAAAATTCATATTTAGTGCGTCCGTCTCTTTAGATATCAAAGAAGCGTTCGGTGTATGATTTGGATGTAAATTTATTACAGTGACATTTTGACACGACCATACAAATTTATACGCGATACAAATGCATGCTGTCTAAAATTATATATTGGCCTATGGGCGACTAATTATTACCTTACACTAAAGCTAATTACGCAGTTTTGATCTAAAATAAAATATCTTTTTTATGGTAAGCGATATGCCTGTCAATGGCAGTTGCATGGATTGCCATTCAGAAATTCAAATCGCAAAGATTACCCGGCACCCTGAAACATAAGTTGACAAGTACGATGTCACATCACCCTCCCTTAAAAACTGGAACGAGCTTTACTGCTTGGTCACAGAAATACGTAAGGGATAAGGTGGTAGTACTCTCACTAAAATAAAATAAAATTGAACATAAATTAACTTTATACTTTGCCATTTACAGCGGTGCGTTTTCATGAACATAGCAAACAAAAACTTCTTAAGAATCGGTACTACCTCATTTAACGCTGGTTTTATTTAACAATTTATTTTTTTACAAACAAAATTAAAGCCATTTGAAAATGTATATCGTATAATAAACGTGTTCTATTTAGTTCAGTTGCTATTTAAAAAATCATTGGTACACGTAAAGTACCTTTTCACCTCACTAGCTCGGAAAGGCTTTCTTCCTCATTAGAAATCTGCGCGCAATAGTTATTTTTTATACAAGTGCGGAAGTTAGTCATTATTCAAGAGTCTCGAGGCTAAGTGAAAAATGACAAATCCGCACGTGTATCAAACGACGTTTTTTTAATACATTTGCGAAAAAACTACATTGAAAGCATTGACCTACAAATTCACTTAAGAAATAATAAGGAGTTGGGCAGATACATACATACAAATATTACTACAAATGTGAAAATAAGTTTGTATAAGAAATGTATATAAGAAATGTACCGTCTATAAGAAATGTACCGATATTCCAACTAAACGTAAACTCAAATATCCGTGATTCCGAAAACCGATTTATAATAAAACCGTTACGCTTTCGTGTAATTTTAATGCTTTTCACAAAGACAAAATTAGTTTTTATTTTGTATTCTTCCTAAAAAAATACATTTGATATTATGAAAATTCGAGCTAACGTTATTTCGGACAAATGTATTTTCTGACTTCTAATAGGTAATCTCAAGCCGTAAAACGAGTACAACAATATTTTGTTAGTTACTGCTAACGTTTAATTAAAAATCATTTTAAAAATAAGATTAAAATCAAAGCGACTCTATAGTTTCTTTGTTCCAAATATTTCAATCCATTGTGGTTCGAAAAATTGAAAATGACCAAGAAGTTTATATATAAGCTTCTTGAAATTGACACAATGGGTCTCTTTCCATCTTTTGCACATGCAATGTGTAGAAAAAGGACAGTTAGCTATTTAATTATTTTGTATGCTTTTGTAATTTATATTTACGATTCATTTAAATGTAAATTAAATACTATAAAACTGTACAAAATAACATTTTTAAATGATAACTATGATAAAACAATATATTTGTTCAGTGAAAATATGATACAAAACCTTGTGTTTACATTTTACAGCAGTAATTTTTACAAGTTATTATTATATGGTACTGCATGATTGACAACCGCGCTGACAGTCGAACAAGCGAAGACTGTTGCGCGATTGTCGCTCTGTAAGTGATTTTAACGCCTTATAGATGCGGACACTTTTAACCGCGAACCCGATGCCCATTTATTGGTAGGTCAATGATTGAAAGTAAAATAACAGTATTTACAAAAAGTAAATGAAAAAGGCGGGAATGTAAATGAAAAAAGTTAGTACTTTATTTGGTCGACTTTCTTCAATATGGCAACTGTTGCCAGCCGCATTAAAATTACTATTTTAGTGGCGCGGCGCACAGCAGTCTCGCGTAATACTCACCTCCGGTCATTGTTTAATACTCAATCAGCCATCTTTATGGAAAATATTTTGGTATTTTCAAATGTAACCCGTTGTTTTATAAAACTCCTATGCAATTTGTTTAACAAATAAGACGTTTGTAAGTAAATATAAGTTTTAATGAAGGATGACTTACACCACAAAGCACAGAAATATTAAATAAATATACAACCTCTTTAGTTCTATATTTAAGACTTGAAAGAACAGTAAATAAAAAAAAATGGAAAAGAAAAAAGCAGTAGTGCGATAAATCCAACTTTCAGCACGATTTTTAGTACGAAAAATACCACGTTTCTGTATTAAAAAAGCGTTTTTTGCACGCTAGCGTGGAAAAGGGTTTTTGAAAATCGAACTTGACGACCGACTGTGGTGCACCTAACTTTTACTTTCTATGAAAAAAAAAAGATATTACTTGTCGTAGGTACATTACATAAATAAGTAACATAAATCCGTTGGCTTAGAATAATAACGCATAGATACCTAGTCCGCACACGCTAAGTGTGGCAAATTGAAGCGCTCCCAATGGGCCTACACGAGCCGGCGGGCCGTCAGTGCTCAAGGTCAACATGCACCGCGAACAGCTCAAGAATTTTAGCTATAAATGACGAAATGTATGATAAATGAGTGTAAAAATACGTCAGACAAACATAAAATAGATACTAACATCACATTCCACAAGGAAGTAACGCGTTTCAACTTGTATTTTAATATAAATATTCATTAAAACCGAAAATTAATTTCGTTGCAACAAGACACGAAAATGTTGCAAAGTAACGGATTTCTTTCTCCCAATTTTGCTATTCTGTTTCAAAATAATTATATTATGTAATTTTTTGAGAGTAGGCAATATCGCGATGGCTGCAGATTTTGTTTTATTCTAATGTAAGTGTGCATTTGACCTCCATTTCTGCAAGTTGAATGCGTACAAATGTTGTTTACAAAGAGCAACCCGTAGAGTTTCTTGCTTATACTTCTCGGGGGAATCTGCCTTACGAACGAGCGGTAGAGTTTAACCAATGTGACGATTTCAAGTGTAATAATGCTTACCTATGAAATAAAGATTATTTTGATTTGATTTTGATTCTGAGTATCCTTTTCGAGGTATTTGGGGATGCTCATTACGAATATGGCACTAATTTCTAAATCCAAGATGGCGGGCGCGGTTTTTATAATAATGGCTATATGGGTCCTTTTCTTTTTTTTCACCCATATTGCATTTATTTAAAAACTCTTGTCCGCCATCTTGGATTTTGATATAAAATTGGATTTGGAGATAAAAGCTATATTCGTAATGAGCGCCCCTAAATACCTTGAAAACGATACCCAACTTGCCATTATTTGAAAAATCGTGCCCGCCATCTTGAATTTAGAAATGAGTGCCATATTCGTAATGAGCACCTCGAATACCTCGAAAATGATTCCCATATTGCATTTATTTGAAAAGTCGTGTCCGTCATCGTGTATTCAGATATAAATGCCATTTCCATAAGGATTACCAAAAATATGTTTTTTTTAATTCTTCTCACTTGACATTGTTGATCGACACTAACGATCGATAAAACCGAGCATATCTGTAGGCACCTGATGGACATTGTCGATCGACAGTAACGATCGACAAAATCGAGCAAATCTGTAGACACCTGATCGACAATGTCGGGCAAATCTGTAAACACCTTTAACTTAATGATGAGTTAAGCAAGATACAATTTCCCCACTTTTGAGAGAAATGTTATTCCATGGCATCATTATTTGTATATTTATGTGCGTGCCGACGAGCGTAGATACAAGTTGCTTACGCCTACATGAATTTGATTTTTGCCTCACTTGTGACAGTTCGTTTGATATGAAACTATCATTCTATGCGTTATTATTGTAAGTCCGTTGGTATATTTTCTTCTTATTATTGTTGACATTAAAGTGACAATGATAACTAATGGTGTTTATTAAATTATTTTAATTCGAAGAACTCAAATAATTTCAATAATCACTTAATTACACAAAATAAAAGAACAAGCGAGAATAAAAATTTATGAGAAAAGAATAATAATTCAGAACGCATCCGAAGACAAACTTATTTTTTTCATTAAAAAAGGTTTTTTAGTTCAACTGTTTTACTTTCATCTGCTATTTCGCTATAGTGAGGTGAAAAGTTGTGTGTTTTGCTCGGCAGCAAACTTGTTTTGCGTCTCGTGCCTTGAAGTTCTCGCTACGCTCAGGAATCTATATTTCAATCTTAGCTTCCTTCGTTTGCTCAGGTTTCAATACAAGCACTTGCGGCAAACAACAACTTTGCAGCCTTGCATAACAAAAAACTATTATAATACAGCGATTTTCTTAAAAATTTCGAAGTAAGCTTGTGTTTCTTTTTTCCTATCGTGATTTTCGGAAATCGTGTTTTCATACCGTATATCGTAATCAGTGTACATCCCCAATTTTACTATTTATTTTTTTCCAAAGTTATTGATTGAACACTTTCACTGTTATGCGGAATCAACCACAATCATTTGAGGTTGTATAGACCCTTAATTTGCCTAGGTCAAAAATGTTTCACGTTGTTTTCATTCTCACGTGAGACAATGTCGCGTTCTTTCTTATTATCATCAGTAAAAAGCATATTTAAGATTAAAGCTATATGTCA